TGATTTTTTGTTATGCAGGGACAAGAACAAGAATCTCACGATTCAAGTATGGTCCGTAGTTTACGAATTATATGTTTATTTAATTTGTATTTACATTTGAATTTCAGCTACTTAATTAGTATTTGAATTTCATTTTAAGTTTGTTGTTATTCTCTTGTATTTATTTGAGTGTTAAAAATGAAATAATTAAAAAAAACAAAAAAAATAAATAAAAACAAATTAGTGGTTTCACGTTAATTTACACGAAATTCAAGCTTGTATTTCGTGTAAATTTACACGAAATACATAAAAAACTAAAATACCATGGTTTCGTACATTGTAAAAAAACACTATTTCGTGCTTCTTTCCACGAAATGCTTCTATCCATTTCGTGCTAGGGAATACGAAATACTCATGCACGAAACATGGTTGGAAAAGGGTATGAGAGAAATGTGGTTTTTTTCTTAGAAAGTTACAAATGAAATAAAGTCGCACTGCAAGCTGGTAAAAGTTGTTCTATGAATAGCATTTCAGTTTACACAATTACAATTGCCGGGTATAAGTTGGATGGAACGAACCAAAATTTACTTTTTCGGAAAATTTCCATTTTTCTTTGGAAGTACAAAATCAATTTCAGTTTCAATTCCAGAATTTTCGAAATGTAGAAATTCATTCCAATTTCCAAAAAGCTATGGAATTTTCAGAATTAAATTGAATCGAAAATTGGAAATTCCAATTTTTCTTTATATAATTTTAATTCCAATCAAAAAATCGGAAAATATCGAAAATCGGAATTTTTTGGAAATCAAAATGAAAAAGAATTGTTCCAAAATCGAAATTTTTCGGATCGGAACCGGCTGAAAATTTTCTTCCAAACTAGTTTTTTTTTTTCAAATTAACGGCCCTTCAGAAATTCTCAATGACACAAATACACCAACATCAGTTTTTGAAAAGGTTCGTCGTCCATTTAGATTGGGATGACTACAGTTTTAGTCCCTAATCCCTATATTATACATTTTTTTTTATTTTGGTTCTTAAACTTTTTTTGGCACGTTATTGATCCTCAAGTAACAATTCATTTTTTTTTTTTTTACAATTTTCGTCCGCCGTTTAAAATTGTTGTTAGTTTGGACGGAAAAGTCACGAGCAAGGCATGTGATCATGCACTTCTACCCCCTGTCATACCTATATTTTTTTATTTGGTCATAGTTAAACTTTATTATTATATATTCATCCAAAAAAATCAAATCACCAAAAAATTGTTTCGAATGCCCCAGCCTCTCTCCGTCTATTTTCACCTCCGCCGCGAGCCATCAACTACACATCCGTGTCACCTTTTTTTTTTACTTGAAATGGTTTTAAATTGATTTTTTTTTTCATTTTTATTTAAAATTGAAATACAATTAAAAATTTATTAAAGAATAATAAAAATAGAATAAAATATATAAGATTGGGCAAAATCGATTTTATTGTATAAACGACTATAAACAAATATTTCTGAAATTACAATATATGTTTAATTAATTTTTACATATTAATAAGTACAAATAATGAAATTAAATTATATTTATAAAATTAAAGAAACATCTTTAATAAAATTTGGTATAATCAAATTAGTTATAGTGTTTTTGATTAAAAAATTAAAATACAAAAATAATAAATATTTGTTGATAAAATATAGTGTACTAATTCCTAGAAACCCTCCTATGGTATATTTGTCAGTTCACATTTTTAGAACATTTCTCGAATTTAATTTTATTTGGACGAAATTGTAAGCATAAAGTGATATTAGGATTAAAATAAAAATATAGGTAAAAATAAGTACTGGTTAATGTGCATTGTCAGGAGACTCGCATGTGACTTCTCCGTCCAAACTAACATCAATTTCAAACTGTGGATCAAAATTGTAAAAGACTGATTATTTGATGATCAATTTCGTGTTAAAAAAAAGTTTAAGGATCAAAATAAAACATGGTGTATAATATAGGAACCAAAACTGTATTATTCCATTAAAAATAGGGTAAATTCCACTTTACCGCCTCGTACTCTGCCCGAGAATCACTTTACCCCCTCGTACTCTCAATTTCATCGATTTACCCCATGCATTTGTACAATTTCCCTATACAACCCTCTCCGTCAACTTTTTTCGATTTTGACTCTGACGCCGTTTGATCAACTTTGTAAATTACAAAATTGCCAATAACACGTCGTTTCTTCTTCTCCCACCACTTCCCCTTCCAAGATATCTCCAGGATTGAAGCCCTATCTTAATATAAATCAAGAACCCATAGCTGTATCGTTTCAGTGCATTTCTTATAATAAAGGCCTTTGAATGTGCTTAAAATTTCTCTTTT